CCCTGATCTATTGAATTCATAGGCAGAATCCTCGTTTTATTGAAGCAATTCCTACCTTTGCAAAATTGTAGGAGAACCAAAGGCACCAGCAGATAAAACGACGAGCCGAGAAGCTTTTGCAACATTCCTCTGACCGCTAGGCCCATCCACGTATTCTACACCAGTCGCTTTAAGGCCCCTAAAAGTAGTTCATGAATCAGGAAGCGTGCTTCATTAGCCATACTAACTCGAATAATACCCGCACTACTCTTCTTTCGTACCACACCACTAAATTCTGATTCTTGTCGATTTGATTATAAATATAGTTTTCCGCTGCGCTGGAGCGTCTCCCTGTGGCCGGATCTACGTACCTGCAAGGAGACGAAGATGAGCACATTTCGAAGCGAGATATCAAGTACCTACTGGGGCCATCTCTGAAATTCATTGTGCAGCCATCAGTACGTATGTTTAAAGGGTGAACTTTTTACCCCATAGGCATCGCAAGAAAAGAACCCATTAATGTCATCCGTAAATTGCCGTTTCTTGTCGTACTTTCTGGCTACGTCAAGGAAGTCTTCGGCGACATTAATATTGTCTTCTCGGTACGAGACCTTAATAGGACCGTTATAACCGTGGTAAGGCGCGTCCCTGTCAAACGTTTCGGCCTAAACGGAATTGTGAATTGATGGTGATTGTATTTGCTTTTCCCACTTGTACCTTTTGCAAAAGTGGGATCAATTCTTTGGAGCCCCAGCCTGGATTATTGTGAAGGGTTGCCCAATCATCATAGTCAGATGCGGCTGCCCGAGTATACATCATGACTGCACTGATCGTTTATAAATGTCCTTCGGTAGATAAGGAGATAAGTTACTCACAGTTTCACGCTAGATCCCCCTCCTAGACACCGCCCTGCGGATACTATAGGTGATCGCCCGCCAAGCGCATCGCTTCGGCGCCCTCGATGATGTAGAAATGTTTTGGTAGTCGGGTCTATAAGATTTCTGAAAAATCTTGCCGGCTGAATGTGGACAGGCTCGTCCCTTGTGCTTGGTCCATCTTCAATGATCTAAATGATAAAAGGATGGTCAAAGTCTCGGATTCGCCGATTGCCCTGATGCTTACAAGTATTTTCAAAGTAGGATTCGCAGCGGCAAGGCGTCCAGCCACAATGCACGCCGTTGCACCTCCTGGTACTAGATTGAGCATCAACGGGACGAAATTGCTAACCAGCTTACCACCAGCGAAGATAACGTCGTATTCAGGTTGAGTAGCAGACATCGTCGTTACGCGCTTGATTCTAACGAAGGCGACAACTTGGGAGTAATTACTCACTCCCGCAATCGCAGGAGAATATGATAACGTTCAGATCGTACCTTATTCTCACAATTTAAATATACCAATGTGTATCTTGTGACGAGTGCTATAACTGTTACCTTGCTTCTCTTGTACATGTAGATCAAAATCGAAAAATAGATAAAGTTTCACCTATCAGCGCGCGTAATAATGTTCCTGCTCGGCTTGCCGAGGCGTGGCTCGTGAAGAAGCCATGGAGCACAATGACCAACCTTGTCTTTGAAATTTTACGATATGGCCATCAATTTCACCTGATAGTGGTTAGTGCACCTTTAAAGCAGCGTGCCTCGAGAACGAGTAGTAATGGTGATGAAACGCCATCCTCAGCGGACCCAACCCACCACCGAACCACTGGCAATGATACCAAGTATTACGCATCTCCCCCTGTGTCAGATCGCACAGCCTTGAACTCGTCATCTTCGCGACCAATATTGTGGCGGTTGGACCTGGTTCCGAGATGATCCACAGGACAAAATGAAAGCGATACTTAGTATAGATATCGAGGCTGGCGCCGCGGTTTTGTAAATAGCATAAATCATGTCCTCGATGCTATGTGTACGTCAGCTAATGCAGATGATAATCCAAGAATAAACTCAACTCACACTTCGTATATTGCCAAATACTGCGCGTGAAGGCGTAATGCGACACAAGACATATATAAGCGAATCATACACCTTTAATTCCCAAATCTTCGGCTATAAGTACCCCCGCCTTTTCCCCAATAGCAATTGCTGTGTTATACGTATTCGCTCCAACATTCGCTGGAGCAATGCTACAATCTAAAATATTGCCAAGTCAAAGCTTCGTACCTCTTAGGGCGTTAATGGCCTACCTGCGACCTTCAGATTACGTGTTCCATACACATTCAGCCTGGAGTCAACCACACCTCTGGCTTCTCTGAGTTTCATTGCACAGGTGCCCATCTGTGGCGATACCAATATAGGACCTCGAGTAGACATAACCAACTGTAGACTTACCGAATGCCAAGATGTTAAGATAATTTCCCTGTTAAATCGATCAATTGCTTTGTCATCTTCTTTTGAGTAGACAATATAGGCGTCTCCGCCAGAAGTTATATTGACAAACCCCGAAGAGGCTGGATATGTCTAGATATGTATCTGTTAGAATCTATCGAATTTTGCAACAGATTTTGCGTACAGTGAAATAGACCATGGTGACGTATTTCTTAGTCGGGGGCTCAGAACTCGGTTCGAGCATCCTAAAATTCCAGTCAGCTCAAAGTCCTTAGACCCGTCTGGCCGCTCACCCTGCAACGGGACACAAGATCGCAAGTGGCTTGTCAGGAGCAGGAGCATAAAACTTTTCCCATGTACTTTTGAAATCCTCGCCAAAGTCTTCCAAATCTTTTAGACAAGGTCTCATCTTGATCCCCGCATCGGTTCCGCTACAACCCCATAAGAAAAAGACAGCTGGACACAAAATGATGGCGCCTACGTGTACGTCAGCAAGCCCTTCCTTGTTTCAAGCCAATGTTGGACAAAAGCTAGAGATGGAAACGTTCAGATTAAGAATCAAATTGAATATACTTTGTGCGCACGCTGTATCATCTCTTCATCTCCTCGAAAAACAATATCCATCGTATCAGCGTCATCGCTAACCATGTAGGGCGTGAAACAGGAATTGTGGTCTGAAAAATGAGGTAAGCCCTCCAGGAAGCGCGGGGTAATAACGAGATACCAATATAATGCTCTCCAACTCCCGGAAGGTCTGTCAGCATTTCTATCTCGTGCTTCTTAAGCAAGTCCGCATTGCCTATCCCTGATCTACTCGAAACCGTTAGCACAGCGCTGTTATACTTTGGCGAGACTTGCCTTTGTAGGATCGTGGGGGAACCGAAAGTGCCGGCAGACAAAACGACCAGACGAGATGCCTTTGCGACGGATCTTTGACCGGTGGAGCCGTCGATGTATTCGATGCCCGTCGCTTTGTTGCTTCTGGGGAGAGAGAGTTTCATAAGCCACGAGAAAATCATCTCATCACACATACTCACTCAAACAGTACTCGTACTACTCTCCTTTCGCATAAAACCACCAGATTCTGGTTTTCGTCGATCTGGTTATAGATATAATGCTGCGCTGTACACGACCGCGTTCCTGCGATAGGATCGATATAACTGCATAGAGGCGAAATTAGTGCATTTTCGGGGTTTGCTAAATATGTTGCTCACTGTGGCCACCTCTAACATGACATCATCAGCAGATAGCTTCAGAAATTCAACAGCTCCCTACCCCATAAGCATCGCAGGAAAAAAGCCCATTCACGTCATCCGTGAATTGACGTTTCTGGTCGTACTTGCTGACAGCGTCGAAGAAAGCTTCAGCGACGTTGGGTTCGCCTTCTCGATACGAGATCTTGATAGGGCCGTTCAGACCGTGGTATGGGGCAATCCTGTCAAACGTTTCTGCCTTAGATGAAACATAAACTAAAAGGATATGCAATAGTTATATTCATCGCACCTTTTCCAAAAGGGGAATCAGATCTTTAGAACCCCAGCCTGGATTTCCGTAAATATTTTCCCAGTCATCATAATCAGATGCCGACGCTCGAGTGTACATCATGACTATTATAATACTATATATATGGTCTGCTTATGAGTAGGGAGGCGAATTACTCACGGTTCACGCTAGATCCCCCTCCTAAACAATGGCCTGTCGTCACGACGGGTGATCGCCCTCCAAGCGCTTCGCTCGGGCGTCCTTGGTAGTGTAGAAAAGTCCTTGAATTTGGATCCCAGAGGTTCTTAAAACATTTTGCTGGCTGAATGTGAACGTCTTTATCACGTGTGTCCGGTCCATCTTCGATGATCTGAAAGATTAAAAAAAGGTTATAAAGGTACGAATCCAACCGTCGCCTTGATACTCACCAGTATTTTCAGAGTAGGATCAGCAGCGGCAAGGCGTCCAGCCACTACGCATGCCGTTGCCCCACCTGACAGCACATTGAGTAACCACGACGACGTGATCAACAATCGACTCACCACCTGCAAAGATAATGTCGCATTCAGATGACATGGTACCTGTTGTTGCGCCTGCAACTGGGTCTACTTATAAAAAGACTTGCTGCTGTATCATGGGATTAATTTCGCTTCCACTATCCGTGATGTGAATCATGTCATGACTCTTTGGGGCAAGATGAGATTGTTCCGGTGGATATAGGCTGAGCGCTGAGCGCTCTTGATCGTTCCCTGGAGTCCATTTTCGGTTTGACTGTAAACCAATTTAATGGGCCATTCAATAGATAAAATTAATCCGCTCACTGATGTGAGCAAGGACGATCCAACCCTGCCTCTCCGTGTTCTTCAATTTGATATCATGCATAGCGTTCTCCTCCAGGCTACGGCGGGTTAAAAGTTACAGTCATTCGTTTAGCGCGTCGCCTGACATTCAAGTCATGGACTCATCATCCATTAATGACAAGTGCTAGCAGGCCTGCGGCTTCGAAGAAAATTCCAGCGGAAAAGTATCAAGTGACCGAATTTTGATCAGGGGTCTATGAGTGACAGTTTGGAAGTTCGACAGTTTGTTTGGGTCCCACTTCGAACTCTATGTATAGAAATTTCGATGCGGGAACGATTGATTAATGTTATGGACAAAATAGAAGACACAAAGAATACGGGTAAAAGTGGGAGGATAAGGTGGGAAAAAATTGGGCCTTGCCGGGATTCGAACCCAGGCCACTTGCAATTCAAGACGAACCCAAAGCAAGTATCGTACCACTAGACTACAAGGCCACATATTGACTTGGGGAATATCAACATCTGATGGCTGGACATGTGAAGGAAAAGAGCGCAGCTATTACATGTCATACGGCTGCTACAGTACTACATCATAACCTGCCGTGTCGGTAACCTCTTCCTTATCCTTTTTCTCATCTTCTGAAGCCGGGGGTGGCAGAGATGTTGCTTTCCAGCCACTTCTGAACGACATAACAGCGGCTACGAAACCGAAGATATTGACCCAGGCCTAGGAATCAGTCAGATTAGTTCGTTTCTTGCTCACATTATTCAAACTCTCACATCAGTTTTGAACAATCCCTTCTCCAGAGACCTGGATGGTGTCTTTTGAGTATAGTTGAGGAAACTTGGAAGGTGTTACGCACCAATGAAGGGAAAAGGGGAAATAAGCAAGATTGGTCACAACTTCTGAACAAAACATATCCCATTTCTGATACATATCTTGCTTCTCTTCTGTATTCAAGCCTGTTCCTTTCCCTTTGCGCAGGGTACGTTGCCTAGCTTCTAGCAGCTTCTTGTCCTCCATAAGATGTGCAAAGTGAAGGAGAATATAGAATGCCCAGAAGCGGCAGGACCACATCCCCAGCTTGCCCGCGTCAAGCTTAATACGCTTCGTCCTCGAAAAGAGCGAGAAGGGGGATGGGACACTCGATGGTATGATGTCGTGAGAACGTAGATAGTACAAGTGCTCGAGAGGGTAATATGCCAGCATGGCCCAACCTTGTAACCGTTCGATGGTTAACAAGTTTCGTGTTGGCTGCGGATTTCGTTCCAATGAGACGAGCCATTGCACTATGGGAAGTATTCCTAGACGCGCTTTCAGGCTTTTGCCAATGGTTGGTACTATCAAGGCGCTTACCCCATATCCTCCACAAAGTCCTAGCGTCGCCGATAATACCGGCAAACTTGGTGCATGTGCCTGCTGCTTGACTCGTCGGGCCCTTTCTCATGCCAGCGCGATGCTGAAGACGAGCCCGCAAATTCAGGAAAGGAACGGTTAATTTCAATATGTATTCAATGACCTAAGAACATGTTTATCCAGTCAAAGGGCGATAGAGCTGATGGCTACCATAAAAAATTTGCTAAAGGAAATGGATTAGAGTGTATCTAGATAGCAGACACTCCAGATTACGCAACTCGCTTCCGCCCCATGTCGATAGGTACCGAACCAAGTGGCTGATGGTCTCGGAAGATGGGACATGAACAAATGCACCCAGTACCGTGTCATTCAGGTAGGCAATAGGACCTGGCTTTGAGAGACGAGACATGGAGCTGTGAGAGCCGTAAGTAAGCGCCAGCGGGACAATATCGTAACCGGGCCCGGCAATTCAATTACGCGCAATCGTGGAAATATCTTACATCAGCAAAGGTATACGACCTGCCAACGCGACAAGTTTTTTTCCTTCAGAACAAACCACTGAGGACTTAAAAGTTCGGGCTCGGTATAAGCTTTTCCGCCTCCTTGTCCGCGTTCCCGTCCTCTAGAGCGATCCAAGGCTCACTTCTGTGGCTGGATCCTTGTTTGGCTTGTGGAATTCGCGCTTTGACCGTCTTTTTCTCTATCTGGGAGGTATCGCTTTGGCTGGTACCCATGATGCGGTTGGAAAGGTGGTAGCGAATTTTGTGGGTTAGGACGGGATGTACATAACCAAGTATTCCTATTTTCTGCTTATAATTTGATGTTCTTGTCGAAGATGTGAATAGGAAGTCTTTTTGAGTATCAGGTCAATGTGATGATCGCGTTCGACTCTACTAGGAACAACAAAATAATTTGAAATTTTGAACGACGAGAGCCTTGTACCGACCCTAAGTACCTTGTTCTTGAATTGCCACTAAGCATACCCTTTCATCCAAATTTGTCATTGCACACAGGTTACACAGCTCCGTATGAAGGCTAGAACGCAACGAGGCGAAAACGAGGCAACCAGTTCCATCACATGCTGCAGCCAGGCGCCAGTAGAGTAACTACAGCAAATGACCGGAAACTCACATACGAGAAGCACGTTTCCTGATAGGTGGTCCGATCCATCAGCCCAGATTAGGAACACGAGGACGTCAATTTACCGCTTATAAGCATCCTTCACGTTCTGCGCCACTATACCCTCCCCAAGGCATCATGAACTCTCGCCGAAGCACTCAAGATACCTTGGTAGAGGAGCTTATCGATGACCAGTCCGCAAGCGAACTCCCAATCACCTTCCACCCACCTTTGTACCTCCAACGTAGGCTTTGGGTTCTCAATATTCTTCGAGCAGAATCTGTTGCCCAGGCAAGTAGAGCAGACTTATATCACTGTCGTATTACCACAATGTCACCCTCATAATCTTCACAATGATCTTAACATCATCGCGATCAATCAATCAACCCGAAATGAAAGAGCTAACCATCCACCCCACAGGTCCTAGATGTCGGATGCGGCGAAGGCCAGCTTCTTTCTGTTCTCTGCCAACCTGCTCCATGGCTAAGACCTCCGCCACCCAATGTCCTTCCACCATCGCCAGTCGTCGATCAATCTGAACCTTCTGACGCCCTCACAGAAGAAGTGACATATCTCCACCCGACCCTCCTCTACGGTATCGACCTTTCTAACGAAGACCTCAACTTTGCTAAAAGCAATACCGAACCCATTGCAACCGAACAAGCATCCTACGCCGCCACCTTCCGATCCACATATACAACCCACAGCCTTCGATGGGAAGAACTCCAAGTCAAAATCTGGAAAGGCGGATTCCAGAAGATCAACGAAGCATTCATCAACATAGAATGCATCGTTAGCACCGAAATGTAAGTGTATACTGGAACGTGTCAAGTAATGTGCGACCCTACTAATGCGTTTGCAACATCAAGGATTGAACATCTTCCTCCCGACGTCTTTCCCGCATTCGCACCAACACTATTAGGGGTGTACCATCCCCGGCTTTTCCTCATCAGTACACCATCGTATACCTTTAACGCCCGGTTCACCGCACCGGACGCACCTCCTTCTGCAAGGCAGGGATACCCAGATCCCACTGGCCGCACAGATCGCATCCTCAGGCACTGAGGATCACAAATTTGAATGGACGATGGATGAATTCGAGGCGTGGTGTAACTCCACTGCGAAGGAGTGGGGTTACCAAGTCAGCACGTCATCAGTGGGGAAAGCAATGGAGACGGATCCGTGGGGACGTGATGACGAGCTAGGTGGCGCAACCCAAGTGGCGGTCTTCCGACGCTTGGACAGCATGTCCAATGCTCAGCGAGAGCAGAAAGGAAGACGCATCATCGCTGAGCTGGGGTTGAACAAGGGCGAATACGAACTGCTGGCAGCCTATAAGCACGAAGCACATTCATCTTCCATGAAACCCAAGTCACTAAAAGAAATCGGTGATGCTGTACAGGAAAAGATGCAACAATTTAGTGTTTCGTTCATCCGGCTAGAGGAAATCTGGTTTGAGAGCGATATCGCAGTGATGTGCGGAGGGTGGATCGAGCATCTAGCCAGAGCAGTCGATGCGAGCGAACATTTAAAACTGAATAGGGGAGACGGTGTAAGGAAAGAGAGGACGACTTGGACGATCGAGTTACTCAACGCAACGCATACGCCAACGAATTTGTGGCCTACGGAGGACGGTATGAGCGAGGCGATGATGCCACCGGAAGACTGGATTCCTGAAGAAGAGACATCAGCTGAGAGCAGCGACTTTGACTGTTCGACGGGGAATGACGGTGATGTTTCCTGGGGTGCCTCTGAGGCCGAGGATGACGAAGGAACGGACAAGTCGCCTTCGTTTGCGGGTTGGGGATTTAAAACCTCACATAGTCCAATACACTGGACGAGCGACGCCGAAGATGGGGAATGGAAAATGGGTACGACCAAGTGGGTGAGGAGCGCATGTGGTAGGGGCGCAAGTAACAGCGCAATGGCGGGTTGGGAGGGTGACTACAGTGACGAAACTTCTTGATGAATTTTTTTTTTTTTGGTTTTTGTTTTGGGAATCGAGTCTTTCTGAATCGAATAGTATAGACAGGTCATTGATTAATACAGAATCTATGATTATTGTACAAAGAGCAACTATGTACTAGTGAGCAAAGGCGTAACACGATCGATTAATGGTTGATACACACCTGGTATACTATAGCCTAGGTACCGGCATCCCAACGCAACATTCCTCTGCCAGCGCCATTGCGGCCTGGGGTTATGCCTTGGTCGCCTTCCTTACAGGAGCTGTGAAGCGAGTATGACGTCCCTCTCCTCGGAAGAGCAAAACAAGCTACGCACAGACAAGCGGGTGTAACTGGGCAAGATATGTGACCATCCACATTAAATAGCAGCAGGCCAGAGTTAGCATTAGGAATGTCCGAACCACGCTACGACACTCTGGTAAGCAGATTTCGCGAGTTTGTGAGTGGCAGCAGAACGTACACCTGGTTTGGACCTTTAGGCGTGAACACCGCAGCGAGAAACATGAGTGTTATGACGATAACACCGACGAAGAGAATAGGGGAATATCGAGGCCATGATGACGGTAACAGGCCAAGAGCGTGCGAAAGAGGCGTAAACCACCAATATTTAACTAGTGGTGCAGTACAGTGCACATATATACTCGACACCGAAGAATTACATTACGGACATGTCTATAATGAATGCCCCAAGTGGCCAAAAAGCCTCTAAACGACAGAACCTGGTTCTAATACGAGGCATCCGAGTCATGTAAACAGAGCTAATGATAACCAGTCAGATTCAATCATAGGCAGCACTAGCACATCGACCCACCTTTGAAAAACTCTTCACCGAGTAAATCTTCCTCAATCTCCCGAACATCATTGGCCACCACGTCCCAACTATCAGCGTACAACGCACGAACAACTTCTTTTTCTACCCACTTCTCAATACCGCCCCTTGACACAGGTTCCAGGGTGTAATCGATAGACAGAGCAGATAATGCTCCACCATAAGCGTGCGATATGCCTTCATACAAGTTCATTTTCGAGCGTAACAGGAAGGCAGTGAACAA